TAATCCATAGTTTATCATACTGATATACCCCAATAACCAGCCTTGGTGAACTGTCGATTTAAAAATGTGTGTAAAAAAGGGGGGAGGGGAGAAGACAAGCCAAAAAATCTACGAATAAAAAGACCGGTAAAAATTATAGCTAAAAACATAATCCCTCTTTGTTTGAATAAAGATACTGGTAACATGGGAGATCCAAACCTTTTACACAAACAATAAATATTTTTTTTTTTACTAAATTAACAGTAATAGAATATGCTAAGGGAAAAAAAAATACGAATGATGGGGATGCTAAGTAAATTTTGCTGAAATAAATTTTGTTTCAAAAACTAATTTTAAATGATCAAATAAATACATTCCAAGGAATTGTATGGTACAGATTACTATTGTTTCAAATTTCTGAAATTGTTCCGATGAAATGAATGAATGAAATCCCTCTGGAACTTTTTTTGCAATATGTTAAGAAATTAAATACAGCTAATGTAGACTTTTCCCAAAAGCAATATACCCAATGTTGAAGAAATTAACAATAATACATCGACAGTGATATTATGAATGAGGATATTTATAAACCAAAAGGAGGAAAAACTATATCTAAGCAAAAAGACGTACAAATTTGTGGATAACATCAAATACATGTACATCACTGAAAGAGCAAAAAAGTATGTGTGAAAAATTGTTATGGGTGTAATTTCCAAAAGTTGTGAAAATGTTTAAAATCTTAAAAAAACTTTAATGAGCGTGAAATATATATCACTGACTATTCATGATATGAAATAAATAAGTCACATTTTGCGTTGAAATCTTCAACTCTGATACATGTATCAAAATACCCGGCATATCTTGACATTAATTTCTTAAAAGTTCCGAGATAAGACTTTATACATGTATTATAATCCTAACATGACTCTACGGAGAGTAGTTAATAAACAAACACAATTTTTTCTTCTCTTAAATAAAATATTGGCCATTACAGTCGCACGCAAGTAGCAACGGAGGTTGGGGTGTACATTGATAGTCCCCCCCCCCCCCCCCCCCCCCCCCAACCTACACACACACACACATTCACACTTTATGTTGCATCATAGTCAAATTCGCACACTATAGGGCAAAAGAATAAGGCACTGTATAATGCTTGATTACGAAAATTTGATACTGAAAGAAGACTGAACCTAATCCCCCCCCCCCCCTCCCCAACAGCGAAATTGGATTCGAGTTTCGACACACACACACCCTGTTTTTGGTTGAGTAGGTTTTTTAAGGTAGATTTATTTTTTTCCTAACTGAACCCCCCCCCCCCTCTTTTTTCAAACGAGTTGTGTGGGGACAGGCGAAGGTAAGAGTCAAATTCTTTTTTTTTATTTTGATTTGTTTGGTATGTTGTGAAGTAATAAGGGAAAATGGCTTGCCTTAATATTTTCAGCGAAAGAGAGTCAAATTAGAGCGGTATACTTTTACTTAATTAACAGCATCGCCTCATACAAAGAAGCATTAATGAATATTGGACGTAATAATTCATTATTGGATAAGACAAACGCATCGAAATGTGAAAAACATAAGGTATCAAGTTAATTAGCCATTGTCACGGAGGTAAATAAATAGATGACCGTTCGTGGCAGTTAAAAAATTGTTTTGATTGTCAAAGAAAATTGGTGATTGGAACTGCCCACAACTGAAAAAAATATAGCTAACCCTCCCCCCCCAACTGAAATGGCTTTCTAAGCCCCCCCCCCCCCCCCCCCCCCCCCCCCCCCCCCACTGAAATGGCTTCCTCAGGCCTTCCTTTATTGCGTAAAAATATATTCATTCAGTTTCAAATAGATTTCATCAAAATTTAGAACAACACAATTCCCATCTCTTTGATTAAATTATACAATATTATACATACCGGTAAATCATTTTTTTAGATCATAGTAGCGGTCCTTGTAAGAATATACAAATGTTGTGTTTAAGTGAAACAGGGTACAGGTGCCACAAAATTTAAAAATAAAAGGTTAATGTGCAGAAATATTTCTAACCGATTTAATTGTTATTCACTTTAAAAAAAAAATAAGAAGTTAAAAGACGGTTTCAAATTGAGGTATAAATTCAAAGAAAGTTTAAAATGATGTAACTTTTAAAAATAAGTATTATTCCATCATTGTAAATTATTGTCAATATTCTTTACATTTGTAACCTTGACCTTGGAGAGGACTTATATAGGCCATGCCTGATGTCCAATCCAATTATGTAATCTAACATAATAAAATATTGATTAAATTAAATTAAAGAAAGTTTCAATTTAAAGTACGGTATATAAATCATTCAGATTCATTTGTCCTTATTAGCCTATTTACTACGTTTCTACAGACAGGCGAAGAAAATGAATTGTATAAACAATGAAAACTTAAGAGCTTTAAACATTTTAAATAAAGTATTCAAAAAAAGTAAAAAATTTATAATCCGCTTGCATGGAATATTGATTGTATATTGTTTAACGTCCCTCTCGAGAATTTTTTACTCATATAGAGACGCCAACACTTGCCGGTGGAGAGCTGCAAATTTTATCCTATACTCGGCATTTAGGGCCATTGAGCAGGGAGGGATCTTTTTCGTGCCAGCACGTACTGCGACACGGGAACTCGGTTTATACGGTCTCATCCGAAGGACCGGTCTCCACGTCCCACAGTGGGATTCGAACCCGCGACGTAAGGATTGACTCCTTACTTCCTTGCATGGAAGAAGGGAAAGTTTATTTTTTCATGAATGTTTATATATAAGGAATAAACGTTTTTAAAAACAAGTTTACATATCTTGGCGTATCTGAATTTATTATTTCTCAATTGAATTCTTCGGTGATACAGAAAATACATGGTGTTTTTTTTATTGTAACAGTTATAGGGAATAAATTTACGTTCGTGTGTGTTTGTTAGTGGATGCTGACTTATAAGATTTATTTTAAATATCGGGATCGATGTGCTTTTTGCGAGGGGTGTCCCGTTTTGCGCGTGGTGTCCTTCTGTATCGGATTCTCTCTACATACCGTATATATTTCTTGTAATCTTTAGGTGTTACATGTGCTTTATATATTTTATAAATTGAATTAGATTATTTCATATAAGAAGAATAATTTGTATGGATATACACAAATACTTTTTTCCTACTGATTATGTTATAAAGCGTTCCTAGATTCTGTCTAGACCCCCCTTTTTTTTAACGAAATTACCAGATCTGGTCTAATATTAGCATGAAAATAGTAATAACATACGATATCCCTTAGGAATAGTTAGATACTAGCCGCTTGAAAGAAAAAAAATGAAATCTCAAGTTGTTATTTCTCAAAACGATTGATGTTATTTAAATAACATGTAATTTCAAGATTTTTTTGAAAATTGTATTAGACGCAGGCGACGTCATTACGTTTTCACTGAGTAACGTCAAAGTTATTTTTGGAGCGCCTCACTAAAATGCTCATAAAATAGGAAAAAAGTGAGATATTTTCAAAATTTATGTATATTTGCATTCAGAAAGAGTCCGGCTATCAAAATTTACCAAAAAGTCAATTTGTGAAAATTTGACCTTAAGGGCCCTTTTCTCGTGACGGCAGTCATATTTCTTTGAAAATATTCTTCTCTGCTCCAGGGTATTAAACAAACAAACATAATGAATAGTTATGACGACAAAGGGTGCCTCTTCAAAAATTGTAAATTTCATGGCCCCTGGGTCAGGGGTTCTGATGATAGGGCAGGGCTTTATTGATTATATAGTAAAAATGCATTAATTCTTTGAAAATGTTCTCCTCTGCTCCTGAGTATTAATCAGATGAACTATATATAGCCACGATGAGCAAGAACCATTCTTCCAGAATTTTGAATTTCAAGGCCACTGAGTAAGGGGTACCATAGAGGGGGGGGGGGCTAATTTATTATATACTGAAAATGAATTAATGCTTTGAAATCTGATCCTTGATACTAGTATTAATCAAACATTTATGATGAGCAAGGGTGCCTTTTCAAAAATTGTGAAATGTGTGGACCTCTAGTCAGGTGTTCCCGTGGGTTGGGGTACTACTGATTATTGCTGAATATTACTGATTAGTTGAAATGCATTTTTTGTTCCCCTGCTCTGTCTATGGGTATTAAGTAACCAAACTAAGCATGCTAAGTGTATAGTTATGAGCAATTGTGCCTCTTTCAAAATTGTGAATATCATGGCCTCTGGTGTAAAACATAAACCAATTTCAATCATTGGAAAGTTGTTGCATGATGCTGAGGTGACCTTTAAGGCCCATGGGTCTCTTGTTTTAAATATATATGCAACTTTGCATAAAGAAAATTCTATGGAAAATATTTTTAGGAAAATATAAATTACCACAGAAACTAGAGTGTGGATTTAAAGGATCACTTTTTATGCTGACGTAAATGAAGATTCCGGAGTATGTAATTTTGGCCCTGTCTGACCATCTGTTTGTCCACAAAAACTTTAACCTTGCCCATAACTTTTGATTGGTTGAGGCAAGGGCTTTCATATTTCAGATAATATGTGCATTTCTTGTGACAAGACCTTTCATTGAATACCAACAAGTTTGACCCTTTGACCTTGACCTACTTTGAAAAACATTAACCTTGGCCAAAACTTTTGAACTGTTAGCACAAGGGCTTTCATACTTCACATATGTAATCCACGTAGTAGGACCTTCCTATAGATACTAACAACTTTGACCTTGGAGTTTAATATACTTTTTAAAAACTTTAGCCTTGGCCATAACTTTTGAACAGATGGCTAGGGCTTTCAAATTCATACATATTTTACAAGTGTATTTCTAGTGAGAAGACATTACTTTGGGTACCAACAAGACTAGTACCAATATATTTGATTTGCATTTGAGAAAGTTTAACCTTCACTATAAGTTGCCATATGGGGGCATCAATGTTTCACAAACACTTCTTGTTTTATGTAAAATTTATTTGTGTCAATTTATAATAACAACATAAATAATATTTAGGTTTTTTTTAAACAAAATGATTGGAAATTCATGAAACCTAGTTTAACCTACAAATAATCACCAGGACAAATAAAACTAACAATTCGAAAGAAAAAAACCCATAAATGCCATATCAGATTTCATTTCAATCTCAATAGAATTGATTTTATATACATGATATATATTGTACATGTAACATGTTAATTTCAAGTCAACAGGTACATAATAAATTATTCAATATATGTACAATTTACAAGCACTTTATGGAACGCAATCAAATGCCTAGCTTATATTGATTCTGTGTATTTAATGAGTTATGTGATCATAAATTTTACCTAAATACCAGATACTTTTACTCCATGCCTCATATATCATTTAAATAATATAACAAAGTTAGTAAGAGCATTGCATAGATAAAGGGGATATTTGTACAACAGAGAGTTCATATCACACCAAGGATCTAAGCCAACCACTTGTAGACTCGGATTTCAGAAAATTGTGTTCCCCTCAGCAATACAGCCACATTTCCCGCTTTTGTTACTGCGACATTTAAAGGTTTAACATCAGGTGCTATGTCATCCGTGTTTTCAACCAATGATCGTTGATAGTTACCATGACTGTCAAACACTTGCACTCTAAAATTCCCAGCATCCGCCACTATGACGTTATCTCGCTTGTCTACAGTAACTCCCATGGGACAGCAGAGATTGCCAAACTTCCTTTTAAAGTTCCCTGCAGTGTCAAAGACTTTGATACAGTTATTGCCTGAGTCACTGACTATGATGTTATCTTTACTGTCCACTGCGATAAAGTTTGGGCCATCAAAGTGTTTGTCACCAGAACCATGCCATCCAAATTTGACAGACATTTTGTTTTGATCTGTGAATACAAAGATGTTATTGCCTTCAAGATTAGAAATGATGGTCTGATTCTTGGAAGTTATTGCTATGCCACTGGGTTTATCAAAACGATAGTAATCCCCGATAGTCTTGAGCACATGACCATCCATATTGTATAGTCTCATTATTGCTGATCCTGCGCCATTTATTGCCAGAAGAATTAAATTGTCATGAGTCATTGTAACTCCACTTATTTTACAGTCACAGCTAAATCGACCGATCAGTTCACCGGCATTTGCGAACACTAAAACTCGACTGCCTGCCAGGTCTGTTACTACATATTCCCCATTCTTTCCCACTGCCAGGCCGTAAGGCTTCATGAAGTCTGCTATGGTAGTTCCATGATGACCAAATCGGAGAAGAAGGTCCTCATTGCAGGGTGTATTTGTTGCAGTAGCTATGTTGGAGGGAATACCACTTGGTGCTTTTGGGTAGAGATTACCAGAAACTGGAGACACTGAAAAAATAAATTATTTTTTGATTAGAAATTAAAAAACATTCCTTGACATCTTAATGCAGAGACTTGCAAGTCAAGATGATAAATTTAAAATTTCTGTGTTCTTTCGCAAATTTACACATCACAATATATAATTACCTTCCATTTTAAATTCTAAACTCTGATTAGAAATACAGTCGCATAAGAGTAAATTGATGACGAATACACAGGCGAAAGCATGAGAGTGATTCACTGTTTAGAGTAAATTCGAGTTACTTACCACTTCGTAGATTTCCATCAACAGGGCTGCCTTTAGGACGAGGAGGAACCGCTGGTCTCTTGACCACGGTGTCTGAAAGACTTGATAACAGGTGGTTGTCTGGAAATTCACTCACACCTCCATGTGGAATGATCGTCGGTTTCTGGCAAACGGGGCATGGAAATTGTCCAGAGGATTCAAACCCACGACTCACTATGAAATCAGTCAAACAACCTTGACAAAATGAATGTAAACATGGCAGGGCTTTAGGTTTATCAAACTCGCCAAAACATATTGGACAAGTTAAGTGGTCCTCACGAATTTTTGTTCTCAAACTCATCGCCGAAATGGGGCGAAATTTTGGATCCGTATCCATGTTTGTTTTTAACGGAAGTTTAAAATGTTGCCGTTCTGTCAACCTCCCTACGATATGAGATTCTAAAATTTGAATTGTTTACGTTCTTCGATTCCGAATTAAAAAAAAACATGAGCCTACACCTTGTACACGCGACCAGAATGAGACAGAGTATATAAATTGAAGAGTTAGATATTAGGGGGTTATTTTACACAAATGTAATGCATGCTTAAATAAAAGGTTGTGTGTTTTTTTTTCAGTGTGATTTATTTTCAAAAAAATTAGATATGGACTTTAAAGTTTTCCTGGACATCCCTCTAATTTCTATTTTTTTCAGTAATTTCCAGCATCTATAATTCAATAAATATATTTATAAACGTGTTATTCATTCAAATATTAACTGGATGCAGTATATGGCGTCCCGACCACAGGTGCGTGAGGACACTGAGACAACCCCACCCCCGATATAGACCCTGGGCTTGGCCACTTTTTTCTCACAAATTATATGTGAATGACACATTTGTGATATAATCTATTCCATCAATTTATCAGAAAATTGACATAAACTAATATTTCATAATTATTTTCACCCAACTCTATTAAAACAAGATGTGTTTGTGAAACACTGATGCCCCTGTATGGCAATTAACATAGCAAAGATGAAACTTTTCTTAAATGCAAATTTAATATATTGGTACCAAAAGAAGGGTATTCTCACTGGAAATACAATTGTGAAATATAAAAGTAGGCAAAGGTTAAAGTTTTTCATAAGTACAGAAATCTTCAAGGTCAAGGTCATTGGTATGAGAGGCCTTGCCACAAAAAATACATATGTAAAGTATGTAAGCACTAGCCCTAACCGTTCAGAAGTTATGGCCAAGGTTAAAAAAAATTTGAAAAGTAGGTCAAACTCCAAGGTCAAAGGTCTTGCTATCAAATGAAAAGTCTTGTCACAAATATAGAATATGTAAAGTATGAAAGCACCAGCCCTAACCCTGTAAAAGTAGTGGTCAAGGTTTGATTTTTAAAAGTAGGACAGACTCTAAGGTAAAAGTTCTTGGTTTCCAATGAAGGGTCTTTTCACAAGGATTACATAAGTGAAGTATGAGATCACTAGCTATTAGCGTTCAAAAGTGATGGCCAAGGTTAAAGTTTTTACATAAGTACAAAAATCTCCAAGGTCAAGGTCAAAAGGTCAAGGTAATTGGTATCCAGTGAAAGGTCTTGCCACATAGAATACATGTGTAAAGTATGGAAGCCTTAGCCCTAACCGTTCAGAAATTATGGCCAAGGTTAAAAATTTTTTAAAGTAGGTCAAACTCCAAGGTCAAGGTCAAAGTGTCAAAGGTCTTGGTGTCAAATGAAAGGTTTTGTCACAAGGATTAAATATGTAAAGTATGAAAGCACTAGCGCTAACCCTTTAAAAGTTATGGTCAAAAAGTTTGCTTTTTAAAAGTAGGTCAAACTCCTAGGTCGGTTAAAGAGTCAAAGTTCTTGGCGTCCAATGAAGGGTCTTTTCACAAGGATTACATATGTGAGCTATGAAAGCACTATCCCTTACCGTTAAAAAGTTATGTCCAAGGTTCAAGTTTTTTTTTCACAAGTATGGAAATCACCAAGGTCAAAACGTCAAGGTTGTTGGTATCCAATTAAAGGTCTTTCAACAAAAAATACATATGTGAAGTATAAATGTCCTGGTATCTACTGTTCAAAAGATATGGCCACAGTAAAACTTTAAAATTTTTGTGTAAAAGTGGGTCATACTCCAAGGTAAAGGTCAGATTTGGTGGTACCCAAAGAAAGGTCTTGTCACAAGGAATACACATGTGAAATATGAAAGTCATAGCTCCACTAAATCAAAAGTTATGGGCAAGATTAAAGTTTTTGACAAACAGACAGAGAGACAGCTAGACAGACGGACGTACACGACTAAAACTATATACCCCCGAAACTTCGTAAATACGGGGGAATAAAAAATTGATTTATATACAATGTATTATAATATATAGAGAGTAGGATAGATTTTATAAGCTGCAGGACTGTAGCTCTCCGAAAAAAAATAATTGACAGACCGGAGAGCTACAGTGCCAGATATTGTAAAGACTGTATATTTATTGCGCACAAAAAGTTGCGCTTAGTTCTGAATGAATTCTTCCAAATTCTTTCCCCAATCGCGAAGAAGATAGATTTAAAAAAAATTCCTTACTTCTCTGTGAAATACTCTCGTAGTTGACATCTGCACGGAGTGCGTTGGACCGTATTATATTGCAAACCAAAATGGCAGTATAAATTGACGAAATTTTCGATGATCTCAATTTCAGGGCCAGGAGGGCTATGAACAGTAATTATAAGGAATGTTTTGTTGTGGAAACAGTGAAAAAATATGTTAGAAAAAAACGGTTTAGTAATACTTTGAGAGGACAATTTAAAAACACGGTGAAATAAATCGAGAAACAGCGGACTTTTTTGTGCGGAATAAATATACAGTTTTTTCAGTGGATGGTACTGTAGCTCTCCAGTCTGTCAAAAAAAAATTTTCGGAGAGCTACAGTTCGCGACATCATGTTTTCAAAGTTGCATAATTACTAGTGCATCTAAGTTGTAAAATGAATAAAAAATCTACATTAATTTACTTTTTTTTAGGAACGGGCTCCGGAGTAGGAACTTTTATCTTGAACCTTTTAGCTGATGAGTACCCGGATGTGTACAGGTATAAATTAATAACTTAAGGAATTAAAACTTGTTGTGAGTTTTACGATCGAAGTTTGCTTTCAGACTTGGCCTCTCGCCTTGTCATCGGTAAATTAAAAATGTTTGTAGCTCTGTTATGGAGAAAGGATTATATGAGGAATATAAATTGGGTCTAAAAATCAGAGTTGACAGCATAAGTCTTGATGAAATATGGAGGTAACAAAAAATGTCAGCTCAAAATCCTTCGGAAGCAGAGCAAACACGGTTCTCCAAAACCATCAGAGGCGGGATCAAGTGCCAAGGAGGAGTAAGCATCTCTTGTCAACCGATCCCACCCGCCATGTGCTACTGTTCATAATCTGGCAATTTACAGAAAAATCCGTAAAAAAAAATTCAGTGTGTAAATGATTGCCTAATAATAAGTAGGAAAAACGTCAGTCAGCATTTTATCTTATGATATATTGTATATACTGGTAAGGTCAATTGTATCGATCATAGACCTTGCGAAATGATGACTTCAAACGAGACTGTTGATATCTTTGTTTATCAACTTGTTGGTTAATAGCTTGTTTCATTCTAATTAATGATCGCACATAGAGCATGCGCTTGCATATCGAATCAACTGAGAAACATTCACCCGATATGCTGTTGATAAGGGTATATTTCTACAATGTATGCACACCAATAAGGAAAGATGACGATAGAGTTGAAGTCGTCAAGGTTGATCTTTCACCTTCGCAATGGTAAAAGAGACATGTGTATAGTTATGACAGCTACCGTTATATAAACAGTCGGATCAAATAGACGTTATGAGTTGACAAAGCCTTGAACTTTGACCTTGAAAAATAATATTCGATTGATGTTTAAATTTAGTAATATATTATCTTTAGTAATATATCCTTTTTTGAAAGATTTGTTACGGCAGTTTATCCATCATCAGAGGATGATGTTGTGACGTCACCTTACAACAGCGTATTAGCCATGCGCGAGTTGACTGATAAAGCAGATTGTGTGTTGCCCATAGAAAACCAGGCTCTTGTGGACATCGTTAATAAAATAAGTCAGTCTGTCCCTTCAGCCAAGCTTGGCAAGCGAGTGTTTACAGCCAGTGGGGTGAAGGCCGGAAGTGCCATTTCGGAGGGAGAAGGGGGGTTATCGAAGCCGTCAGACGAAAGACCGTTTGACAGTATGAACAACATTGTAGCTAACTTGCTTCTAAACATGACCAGGTGGGAATCACTTGTTTTTTGTTTTCAGTATAACAACCGACCTATGCGTTTAAAAAATTATCAAAATATTGTTTCAATGTTTGTGAAGATTTATCTTTTATTCCTTTTACAGTTCTACCAGATTTGAGGGATCGTTAAATGTGGACTTAAACGAAATCACGATGAATCTTGTTCCTTTCCCAAGGTTACATTACCTAGTATCTAGCCAGACACCATTATTTTCGTTGTCCGATGTTCACCTACCTCCCAGAAGGTATATAATAAAAACAACAACAACAAAAGTCTACTGCTTCCGAAATATAAAAAAAAAATTAAGTGGATGGTTGTGGCTATTTCCGAGGTTTTTGTAAAATTTTCAATAGAATTAAGTTTGTTCAATTGAAAGTTGCGTAATTTTATTGTCACCTATTCAGGTTGGATCAGATGTTTTCGGATGCCTTCTCACGAGACCATCAGCTAATTAAGGCGGATCCTAAACATAGCCTTTATCTGGCATGCGCATTAATGGTCCGAGGTAACGTGGAAATCTCTGACGTCAGGAGAAACATCGAAAGGTATTACTTATAGCTTAAAACTCATTGCTGTCAGTGATTTGAGATGTTTACTTGTAAGTGCTGTCTATTGTCTTTTCATTGAACAATTAAAGATTTACTGATTTCGGAAAAAAAAATTGTAGGTTGAAGCCAAACTTGAAGTTTATCCATTGGAATAACGAAGGCTGGAAGACTGGTCTCTGTTCCGTCCCCCCTGTAGGCCAGAATTACTCCCTCCTGACCCTGGCCAATAACACCTGTGTACACAATACCTTTGTGGATCTTAAAGATCGCTTTCACAGGCTCTACAAAAGAAAAGTATATTGTCTATATTGTATATATGTCTGTATATATTATCTATTTTATAGCTGAAAATAATTGGAAAGTGTTACATGTATATTTGCTTTTACATTGATTTTTGAAGACTTTTTGAGATGCAAACGCCAAAAATATAATGTTATTAATAAACTCAGTAATTAATACCTTTAATGAATTTGGAATATCCATCATGCGATGGGATAGCTGCAATTATGTAGCCCTCTCTCTCTCTTTTTTTTTTTTTGCGGGGGGAGGGCTGCAACTCCTTTGGATCTCCGTAATGGTGCAAAGCGGGAGCGATTCACTCCCGCACGGATTTCGGCTCAAATTGTCAGTAAACAGCTATTTTATTTATATGTCTTACCTGGACTTCCAAAATATAGTTATCCCAGACATAAATCGATCCAAAAATATACAGAACAATCCATATATCCGTATTTTTCGTGTATGTCAACATCACAACTTAAATTTATCCGCCATGTTTACTGACCTTGACAGATTTTATTTTGGGACAGCCAATGAGATTAAGGATCTATAGGGAGCGGATTTCTTTGGAATTACCTTATTTTAAGCCAAAATATCGCTATTACAAAAAAAATGACACATGGAATGATTTAATTTATCGATGTTTAGTGTTACTATTCATCACAATTATTTATAAACGTCGACATTTGCTTTATTGAGTTATTCTAAATTTCAAGCGCAAGTCTCAGTATGTCACGCGTGAACTGTCATGGCTGATGAGTAAGGCGACAAGTAAATAAACAGATTTATTTTACATGGATTTCGCGTTTTACGAGCTATGATGTCGTCAGTGAATAAAAATTTCGTCTTATTAGAAGTAAGTTGAATGTAAAAACAATTTATTCTGCCTGCAGTCGCCCGTATCTAAAAAATATTTTTGCACCATTACGGAGAAGCTGTGGAATTGTACATGATATAGCCCTCTCCAGAAAATATCAGATAAAAAAAAATAGGCTAGCGATGGGACAGAGATGGATAAAAAATGCTGGTAAAAAGTTTGAAAATTTCAGGCGCATGTTCACCATTACACGTCAGTAGAGGGCATGGAAGTGATGGATTTCAGTGAGAGCCTGGAGTCTCTGATGTCACTGATAGACGACTACAAAGGCCTAGAACAACAAATGAACAATCCCCCTCCAACAGAGCCTCGTCTGGAAATCTTCAAGTGACGTAGCGTGTTCGTTGCTAATGAAGATTATCCGGGTCTCCAGACACCAGCAGTCCAAAGTCACAACGGAGGAAGGACATCGTTTTGACGGCGGAAGCAGTATTACTGAGACTGTTGCAAAAGCCTCGAGAAACGCGCATGTATACAATACTTTCAATGACGATGAAAATACATGTACGTTTGTCATGACAAGACTGGTTTGTCATTATGACAGGACTGAATGTGTATTCAATTATGGATGGTATCGTACTATTGTAACAGTGCAATGATAAATCTGACGAGTACTGTATCAAAAGTATTTATTCTTGAAATGCTAATAAATGAGAATGGTAAAGTCTTTTGGGTAATTATAACGATTGTAGCAAGTGTCCATTATGAAAATGGATTTGAATTAGGAATTTATATATTTTATGAAACTATATGAAATATCATAAAATGGTCTTTGTGTCGACCATTAGTTCAAGGTATTTCATTTAAGGTAGAGAGAACAATGTGAGATTGAGTTTGTCAAAATTCTGGCCGGGGGGAGGGGTCCGGCCCTTATTTTTTTTTTTTCAAACAAAATAATGTTGATTGAAAGGCCGGTTTTTGGTACAATGTATTAAAGTATTAATAAAATTTGGTACTTTTTTTGGCTTGTCAACTTTTTTCAGGTAAGTAAAAAAAAATCTCTGGCTGGCAATTGACATCTTTACGGAAGCCCATTTAGGACCTATCGAAAAATGTTTTTGAATCCGATATAACGAATTGTCGAATTTGTTATAACGAATTTAATTCGTTATAACAAATTCAATTCGTTATAACAAATTAAAGAATTCGTTATAATGAATTCAACAAATTTGCTATAACAGATTAAAATCGTTATAACAAATTCATAGAAATTGTTATAATGAATTAAATTCGTTATAACAAATTCGACAATTCGTGATATCGGATTCAATAATATTTTTCAATATGTCCTAAATGGGCTTCCATACATCTTACATGTAGCACGCAGAAAAACAAAAACGATTCAAATTCAAATCTTTAAAAGGTCATTGATTAAGCATTGTTTATACTGAGCTAGTTCAGTGGGTCAGGATAAGAGACGTTTATTTATTTACATCCGTAAACAGTGCAGATTAATGCCTTTGTCCCTAGAGCAAACGTGGGAATCTGGTATGTTATTGCATCACCTTAATGCTTTTAAATATTTCCTAGTCCGCTGTACTTAAATGAGTCTGAATATTTTTTGTGAACAAATTCAAATTGGCAGACGTTTGAAAATGATGAACCACCACTGTGAGCTTACCGGGAAGTGTGTATTGTATTGTGACCTTTGCTGGTATCATCCTTTTTAATTAATTTGTACATTATTACCCTACCGATATCCAGCATTTATATGTCCCTGATGCTGCATTTGATCATGAATTCAAGGTTAATGAATTACTAGATATTATAAACAAAGCCAAGAAATATATAACGAAACTTCAGCTCTGCTGGAGCAATACCCCAGAGTGTAGAGACCTACTCGTAAATGGAGGATCTCCCCAGTTTTCTGATTGGAAATGATTTTTATCCAAATCGTTGCTAACGGCTTGAGGATAGAAATACACAATCCATTCAAACACTTCCTATTATAACCTTTTTTAAACGTCGGGCTTTCCCATCGAAGCATAACAGCATAATCAAGCTAATTCTTAGGATTTGTATCCCCCACTTAAGAAAAAAAGAAGGGGTTGGGCTGGAAGACTGTGAAGATATACTGTATACAGGGAAATTTTCGCCCCCGTTTCATTTTCGCTATACCCTTATTTGGGCGAATTCAAAGAATACAGTATAACTTCTTAAAGTGACTATATGAGTCAAAATCATGTCTTTCTCTTAAGATATCTGTAGCATACAGAGAAAGACTTATGAGAATTATGAGTATATAGCAAAGATATGACAATTAAATTACAAGGAAAAACTTCACGATAAAAGTGCCGGAAAAACAAAGGTTGTATCTACCGTTTCGTTGTTTTCGTGTTTTTCAAGGTCACGCTATTTTTTTTTTTAAGCTCAAACTTGTAAACAACATTCAGCCGGAGCATGCAAAGGTGAAAAATATGTTCTAACAACGTTTTAAAAAGATTGCCTCTAAATTTTTGGTCTACTTACATTCATTGCTGGGAACTTGAGACCAAGGTAACTATGGAAACTTATTCAACTTTTCTGCGCACGCGTACAGTGGGGTGGAAAAAGTATTGAGCAATAATTTCGGTCTGGGGCATACAAAAATTATTTTTATTTTTCTCCTTAAAAATAGAATTTTTAGGTTCTGAAACCTGTAAGTTTCCGAAACCTAATAGTTTTAGGAATTGAACAAAATTAACAATTAAAGGTCATGCAAAAATTCTACATTTATCAATTTTCCCCTTTGTGCGTCACAGTGCCGCTTTAAACAAAACTATGACTGGGCGAAATTAAAACGGGACAAAATTGATTGCAAGTGTGAAAGGGCGAAAATAACCCTGTATACAGTATATACAGATTGTCCTTTTAACTTTTCACGTTTCTTTGCAAAAGTATACAGAGAACAAAATATATCATCTGAAAACTGAATATGCATTTATATAATTTTATGATTTTTTGTCTTTGAGCTTTCTACGTTTAAACCATTCTTTTTTAAAGGATAACTACATTTGGTACCAGGAAAACCCTTTTTTTTTTTTTTTTTTTTTGCAAAATATGAATTTTTCTCTTGACCTTTTGACATATGAATCCTCAAGAGTTTTATTTTAGTCAGTGTGAGTTAAGATTTCATTGAAAAGGTTCTATAAAAAAAAGTTAAGTTTAAAAGTTATCTGGAAACAATTGTTTCACTTAATATGCATTTCTGACCATGACCTTTAATCTTTTGACCACAAATCAAAAGACGTCATTCAGACCTATAAATTTCGTCACGAAAAGCAGTTGGTTTATACAGTATCATTTTTGATAATTTAAGGAAGTAAAGATCCAGCATGAGTATATTCATTTCAAGAGCTTTGATTACTTTCGCTCCTTTTCGTAACCGATTTCCGAAAACCGACAGGTTTGGAAGAGAGAATTTCCCATAGAACGCCTCTAAATCGCCGTGACGTCATCACGTACAGGAAAAAATTCAACGCATAATTCAGTTGCTCCAACAGTTGGGAAATTTCTTTGAAGAGATTAAACCCAGCGTTGTCGCTGGCAAATGCGCTGATCTTGAGTTCGTATGCGGCATTGTGGAGAATTGTAATTGGTAGAACCAGAATGATGTAGGCAAGAACAATACCAATCAACATGGCCGTGACTCGGCGATCATCCTTACTCCTCTGTGCAGTGGAACTCTGAGGCTTCATGGTTTTTCCTTTTTGGTTGTGGCGTATCAGTTTAGCAATAATAAGCGGGGTCAGGGTCAACAGAATTACCATAGGAACAACAGAATACAAGCTCGATGCTGTCCGAAGAATGGCGCCAAATCTTTGTGTAGCGGTAGGATCTTGCCTGTCATACACATCTGGTTGACATTTTCCTTCTACAATCTCCGAAGCATAGCTATATGCACCCGTAAAGGCGAAAATGATAATATAAATGGCTAGAATCCCAGAAAGTAGTGTACGTTTAGTGATATAAATCTTTGCTTTTAACGGAAACCACACCGCTATAAATCGCTCAAGGCAAAGACCTACCACAAACCATGATGACGTCATCTTAGATGCCCTTCGTATAACGAAATATAGCTTGCAGGTTGCGCTATGCAACGATCTTATGTCCTGTCCAATCAAGTCAATAACAAAGTCTTTGTTTAAGGGCTGGACCAAGAGGAGAACACTGTCTGAGACAGCCAAACAAATGAGCAAATATGAGGAGAGGGCGGTGGAGAATTGTTTGGACTTCATTACGATAATGGTCAGAAGATTTCCCATGATGCCCATGGTAACAGTTGCCGGAAGAAACACGTAATTGGTGTAATCTATCACACTTGGTCCCGAATCCTGTGACCCGGAATTGGAAACCGACAGGTTAGTAGAAATAATTGTTGTTGGTATTTCGTTAATTGTACTTAGTGTTTTATTGTTTTCAGCCATGTCTGAAACGAATAACAAATAATCGTATATTAACATTTCATATTCAGCGAAACATTTATTGCCCCAAAATAAAAAATAAGGGGGTATATGGCTTTTGCCCTGGCCCTCCGTCTTTCATATTTCATTCCTTGTGACAAGACCTTTATTTGGGTACCAATATATTTGACCACTTACTAGTAACCTTGGAGTTTGACCAATTTTTGTAAGAATTTACCCAATTTTAACCTTGGTCATAACTGTTGAATAGTTGGGGATAGGGCTTTCATACTTCGTATGTGTATAAAGTGTGATAACACCTTTTCATGGATTCAAATATTCTTGACCTTGGACTTTGACCCACTTTAAAAAAAGCTTAAACCTCGGTTATAAATTTTAAACAGTAAACCCTAAAGCTTTCATATTTTACAGATGTATTTTGTGTGAAAACTGAAAAGCCCTTTCTTTGAATACCAACCATTTCGTCCTTGACCTTGGAGTTTACCTACTTTTAAAAACTTTAACCTTGCCTATAACTTTCGAAAAAGTTGCTGCTAGGGCTTCATTATTCCGCATGTGTATTTACTAAGTCAAGGCCTTCCTCTGGCTTATTTTGACCGTGGCCTTGGGAGTTTGACCCATATTTAATATTAAAAAAAAACTTACCCTGGTTTTGAATATGTTAAATTTCAAAGTTAGGTCAAGGTCACTGGGTCAAACATGATATATTTAGAAATGTCTTTTCACAAGACAAATATAAAAAACCGTTATTATTAAGTTTGCCGTTTTGCTTTACGTACCAAGCCATGATGATAGCTGCGCTTAAGGTAAATCGTAAACGCCTTCTTACCGCGAGCTTTATGACCGGAAGTTTCTTCTAAAACCTGATTGGTTGCTCATGCAACAGACTATTTCTGTTAAGTAATAAGTTGAGTTGACCAATCACAGCGGGGGCGTGACGCTGAGTGCATCTGTCGAAAAGATCGTGACGTAATGCAAAACAGCACACTTATATGATGGAATTAATAATATCTTCTCTCTTGTATGAATTCTTGAGAAGTGTCAAAAAAATATTGAGTTTGGAAAGGTCTCTTCTCGGATAATGAACATGTAAAACATTAAAGCCCTGTCTTTTCTCATTCAAATACTATGACCAAGGTCAAAGTAACAAACTGACAGACGAATGAAAATTGATGTACCCTAGCTTGCTTTTGAGAAAACGGGAGATGATAAATTTTGCATTAAAGGTCACCTTTGAAAAAGAAATTATCACAAAACTTTTTTCCTGATTGTTAGTGTCTATGACCATTTCAAGTGATCTCTCCTCAGAAGGGAGAGATAAAGCAAGGTGGTCCTCACAGAAAATAAACTCGGACTGAGTTCCAGATGCACCTTTTCCATTTCTCTCGGACTGAGTTCCAGGTGCACCTTTCCATTTTTCTCGGACTGAGTTCCAGATGCACCTTTTCCATTCTTTAAGATCAAGGAGTTGAAAACGATAAATACAATACGATACCGGAAATATTATCAGTGATCTCCATCTTTCGAATAAATGTGCGCTTGATTTACACTTAATTCTCCACTTGACAAGATTTCATTGCCTGTCATGTATTTTCACTTCGCTAATTTTGTTTGAAAATATCCGGTTCAATACAAGCGTAAAGGAAATCGTACATGGTTGAATTCAGTTGGGAAAGAGAAAGAATAATTAAATAACTATCTTTTGAGAAGCACGCCATTTTTTAAGATTATTGTTTTCTTTTCTAAGAAGAAAAATCCACGTAAAGTATCAGTCACATTCTCCAGCGATGGAGTATAAGATGAGAAACCGATGCGTTTTTGATAGAAATGGCGTGGTTGCCGGCCGGACACCTTTATGCCTAGGTCACATTTCCCGGCCGGTGGCCGTAGACTGGTGGTAATCGCTGGTAATCCGTGGTGTGAGCGATGCCCCAACATCGGTCCACATCGGTCTAGACTCCTTAAAGTATCAGTCACATTGTCAAGCGGTGGGTATACGATGGGTAACCAATGCGTTTTTGGATAAAAATGTCGTAGTTGCCGTCCGGACTTACAAAGGCCCATGGATGCATTACTTATCATAAAACGGTGTTCCAGGTAATCGGCCGATGTATATTACATCGCTCAGACATTGGTAAACATCGTTTGTACGTTGGTCGACGATGGTCCAATGTTTGGTCGAACATTGACCAATGATCGACCAATGTCTCTTGCCAACCACTCAACCCTCCGATGATCTTAGATTCAACGGACACTTGACGATGCTCAGCCATACATCAGCCATTCCTTGAAAGGTGTGTAAATGATGGGTTGTCGATGAGGAGCGATGTGGGACATCGGTGGAGACATCGCTGATTTTTAACTGCGAATTATCTTCTTCCGATGACCCCACCGATTCGCAAAATGGCCTCAGTCACCGTCCGATTACTAGTGGTGTCCGGCCGGCAACCACGCCATTTTCATCAAAAAATGCATCGGTTTCTCATCGTATACCCCATCGCTGGACAATGTGACTGATACTTCAGTAATTGGATGATGACTAAGGCCATTTGGCAAATCGGTGGGAGTCATCGGTAGAAAATATGTTGAAGTTAAAAATCAGCGATGTCTCCACCGATGCCCCACATCGCTCCTCATCGGCAACCCATCATTAACACATCTTTCAAGGATTGGCCGAGCATCGTCAAGTGTCCGTTAAATCTGAGGTCATCGGGGTGGGGGGGTGGGGGGTGGGGGGTTGAGGTATGGGCAACAGACATCGGCCGAGAATCGGTCGATGTTCGACCAAACATTGGCCCATAGTCGACCGACGTACGAACGATGTTCACCAATGTATGAGCGATGTAATATACATCGGCCGATTACCCTGGAACATCGTTTTATGATTAGCAAAACACCGCTGGGTCTTTGTAAGTCCGGCCGGCAACCACGCTATTTTTATCAAAAAACGCATTGGTTGCCCAGCGTATACCCCATCACTGGATAATATGACTGATACTTTAAGGACTACTCGGCCGATGTGGACCGACGTTGGGGCATCGCTAACACCACGGATTACGACCGGTCTATGGCCACCGACCGGGAAATGTGACTAAGGCATAAACATGGAGCTTCAAAAACCAAAGGTGCGAAGGACGGTTTCCTTTTACTGTGTAATTATCAGTCACATTATCCAGCGATGGGGTATACGATGAGAAACCAATGCGTTTTTTTAATATATAAAAATGGCCTGGTTGCCGGCCGGACACCTATAGTAATCGGACGGTGACTGAGGCCATTCGGCGAGTCGATGGGGTCATCGGTAGAAAATATGTTGTACTTAAAAATCAGCGATGTCTCCACCGATGCCCCACATCGCTCCTCATCGGCAACCCATCATTAACACATCTTTCAAGGATTGGCCGCGATGTATGGCCGAGCATCGTCAAGTGTCCGTTGAATCTGAGGTCATCGGGGGGTTGAGTGGTGTGCAGCAGACATCGACCGAGAATCGGTCGATGTTTGACAAAACATTGGCCAATAGTCGACCAACGTACGAACGATGTTCACCAATGTATGAGCGATGTAATACACGTCGGCCGAATACCCTGGAACATCGTTTTATGATTAGTAATGCCTCACTGGGCCTTTGAAAGTCCGGCCGGCAACCACGCCATTTTTATAAATAAAAAACGCATTGGTTGCCCATCGTATACCCCATCGCTGGATAATGTGACTGATACTTTAAGGACTACTCGGCCGATGTGGAACGATGTTGGGGCATCGCTCACACCGCGAATTACAACCGGTTACCACCGGTCTGCGGCCGTCGGCCGGGAAATGTGATAAGGCATTACTGGTATATTTAACCACGAGCTGCAGAACTGTAGCTCTCCGAAAAAATATATATTGACAGCCCGGTCTGTCAATATATATTTTTTGGAGAGCTTCAGTTCTGTAGCTAATATAACCAGATGGCGGAAAAATCGACGCATGCATTAAAGTCGTCCGCGGCGCGGTGGTAGAACATCTGCTTTAGAATCGCGGAGTATGGAGTTGATCCTAATGTCATGAGTTCAAATCCCACTCTGGGACGTGAAGACCAGTCTTTCGGATGAGACTAAATAAACCGAGGTCCTGTGTTGCAGTAGATGCTGGTACGTAACTAAAAGAAACATCACTGCCCAATGGCCCAGAGTGCCGAGTATAGGTCAAAGTTGGCAGCTTTCAACCGTCAAGTGGTGGGTGACGTCTCCATATGAGTGAAAATTTTTTTGAAATAGACTTTAAACAACAAACAAATAAGTGACAAAAATACAAATGTGACGACCCATTTTTCCCTATAGCTAGCTTTAAAAAATATAGTACATTTAATTCTCATCTTTTTGCAAACGTAATAGATTATTAATGCCTAGGTCACATTTCCCGGCCGGTAGCCGTAGACCGGTGTTCTATATATGGTTGCGTTACATCGTGTGCAAGGCGTAGTCCTTAAAGAGACGTTATTCTTTACTGGACAACCAATGCGTTTTATGAGAAAAATGGCCTGGTATTTTTGCTAATCATTAAAATTAGGATATTTAGTATATTAAAATGTTTTACGTGGTACATGAGTGAATGCGGGCCAATGTTTTGTCAACAGGATATTATTTGTTGAACACCACTAAACTCCCCGTAAATTCAACAGATATTGGACGATGCTCGGCCATACATCGGCCGATAAAAATGTGTTAATGATGGGTTGCCAACGATGTGAATCGTTGGAGACATCGCTGAATTTTAACTACGAATTATTTCCACCAACCTAGAAAAGTTATGCAAAAAATTTTCACAAACGCATGGTTTTGGATTTGATACATGGATAAAAAAAACAAAGCAACGCTATATATGGTTGCGTTAGATAGTGTGCAAGGCGAGTTGAGACGTTATTCTTTTCTTAAATATGATATTTTTCACATAAATTAGAATTTAGAATTAAAATGTTTTACGTGGCCTGAGTGAGTTCATAGTATTTTGTCAAAGGA